TTTCAGATCTAGAAAGAGGGAAGGAAAAAAAAAACTGTTACCTCCTTCAAGAATTTGGCGTAATTGCTTAGAAAAATCCCATTTCCAGGATTTGCTTCAATCATCTTACGATAATGAACATCTGTGCTATTCGGATCTTGAGATCCGTCTCCATCACCACCATCAGATCTACCTCCACTCTTTCCTTTTCCTCCGCCGTGAAACATCCCACCACCACCGCCCGTAACCTCAGTATCCTCCTCCAAAGCCCAATTAAACCCTAAATCACCATCATAAGACGAAGTGCGTAGAAGACCGAATCCGATTCCTTCTTCCACATCCTCCATCAAAGAACCGCTAATGAACTTACTCGCCGGCTTAGTCGATGTCAAATGCCGTAGATCGCTCTCCGACGAAGTCCTTTTCATCATCCTCGTAGATTCGTCACTAGAGTGCGCAGAAACGGGGCTGTAACAGCAAGAGGAAGAAGAAGCACAGAGCATCACGGATCTATGCCGTTGAATCTGATGAACAGATTCGGTTTCGATTGGTGATTCTCTTGGATTCGAGACATGAACCAAAGAGTTGAGAAGTGGAGTCGACGCGCTACGTAGAAGCATCTTCTCTGGATCGAAAATTCTCAGATTCGTTAGGGTTTGATTTCTACGATCGAAGGAAGAAGAAGAGATTCGAGATTTGTTTTTTGCAGGTTTTTGTGGCTGTGAGCTGCTGGGTATGAGAGAAGTGAAGACGGTGCTTATATATACAGGCAAACGAAAAACAAATCTAAGCCGTCGATTTGAGTTTTATTTTTATCACGTGAAGTTTGATTACAACTACTTTAACTTTTTTGTTAACTAAAGATTTTTATTCTCCAAGTTGTGTACCAAAATGATTTTTAATCAATGTTCAAGTATGTCACGATTTCTTCAAATAGACGGTGATCCAATGCCTAGTGTTTAGACCGACTAATCGAAGCTTAAGAGCATGTACATTGGTAAGAACTCAATTAGGGGTTGTTAACAATTTTATAATATTAAACCAACAATAAAGTTAGTTTAAAACTTTATAATTGTTTTTAAAAAAATTTATCCTCCATTGGTTAGAACTCCAAAAAGTATTTAAAAAAAATTGTTCTTGTGACAAAAGTAATAATCTGGTTTTGACAAACATCCAAATGAATAGACAGATTAGCATTTAATTTACATTAATACAAGAATCTTTTTTCTTCAAATCATATAAAAAACCAACTAATACACATTTCGTTTCGACTTTCCTAGTGTTCAACAAAGAGAACAATGCCATGTACTACAAGGATCGTGCATCCCTTAACGAATCAAATACACACTAGAACATGTGCATCAAACTTTCCAAGATAACACAATGGAAAACAAATTTCATAAACAAAAAAAAAATATCAGAGAGCAAAAGATGAGATTATGCTGGAAGAAACAAAACTTTGTACCATCTGTTTAACTTGTTCTATCCCTCCAGCTCCAAAAGTGTGTCCAGAAGGCAAAATCATAGCATCAGCCATCAAAACCCCTCTACGAATTTTGCAAAGAGACAAGAACAAAGTTTAGATTAACCACAAGCAAAGATCAACACTAATCCAACTCTCACAAACAAAATAAACCAATTAAGAGAAAAGATACAAATCATTTTCACTTCTTAAGAGTTCTTATGTTTGTAATTCCAGAACCATATACATGAATAAGTTCACTAAACCAAGTTTTAGAAAGTACTACATCTTCTCTTCAATTATTGGAGATTTTCAAGAGCTACCAAATCGAAAGAGCTAAGAACTGGCAACAAACCAAACCAAACAGTATAGTTACCTTCTTTCCTTGAATGACAGCATTTGGATCTCCTTGGATCACCATGTACTTATTGCCACCAAGGAACAATCCTGTTGGGGCAAGTGTTCCAGGTTCAACATAATCTTTGTTGATTCCTTCGATTTCCTCATGCTTCAACTAAAATAACAACAATACTAAATCGATAAGAGAAACATACACTCGTAGAACAAAAAAATTTCAATTTATCATCAGATTCTATGAAAACAAACTACAAACAACATAATTCACGAACGTGTGAATCAGGAAACCAAACTCAATTTCCATTTCCAAAATTACAACTTCTTCCTACTGCATACTTTTACAGGTTTCAACACAGATCCAACCAAAATCAGAGAATTCTACTCGAATCAAACGGTTAAAGCAAATAAGAATCAGTCCTACTTGGTACTGGCATAACCGGGAACGAAAGTGATGCTCTCTCCGACATTATTGACAACACCAAGCATCGTGAGTTGTTGCTGATTGTAGCCCAACACTGATTTCAGATTCCGGTGGCGATTTCGATCCAAACCGCCCCAGATAAACCAATCCACGGTGGTCGGCGTTCTGATTTGGTTCTTGCAGAGCATGATTCTGATGAAATCGCCGGAATTGGAGAGAGAGATCAGGAGAGAGAATCGCCAGAAGGAAGAAGAAAAGATTTTTATCTTTTGTCTGATTTTTTTTTTTTAAAACGAGCCAATCAAAGTGTGACTCCTCAGGGGTTCTGAAGAGCTCTATAATCTCTGGTTTGAGAATCACAACTGGCCCATCATTTCATTTTTTTATTTATTTTAAGCCTTTTAATTGTTCAGAACCTCATCTAATATACTCCAATGGACCTGCTCTAAGCAATTTAATAGGCGATCTAAACGTTTTACAAAGATACATAATATATTAGATATATAGAGTAAAATATATAAAAAACCATAATTTATAAATAATAAAATTTATATTGTATTTATATTCATCATTTTTCATCAATATATATAGAATATTACGATTTATATATAAGAAAATGTTTGTTATTTTATTATTATAATACTATAATAATTTAGGCAACAAAAGCGGTAATCTCTATGGTGTATAAGGGCCTAGCGTCTAAGTGGCGTCTAGGTAGACGCCTAAAACGCTTTTTAGAACGCTGTTTTTATTTTGACTTTGCATGTATGACTAGTGTGCATGTTCTGCTCTGTTTTTAACTAGGACTAGGAGGACTTTTCTTTTTCTCCTCTCTATTAAACGATTTATATTGTTCTACAACAATTTACGTTAATTGCTGAAGTTTATTGATATGATTTATAGCAAAAAAAAAAAAAGTTATTGATATGGTTAACAAGTTTTTTTAGCTTGTGTTATAGTTTGCTATAAAAAAATGTAGTAAAACATGTTTACATTCATCAACACCATGATCAACAAGTAAAAAACTAAAAAAAAATATAATGGTTGTGAGTTTTACATAATTCATTGTTTGTATTCTAAGAAAATATATATCACAACAACATTCTAGAAGCTCCTAAATTATTTTGTAAGCTCTGTTTTTGCTCTCAAAATATCACCTTAGATGCATTTTGCACAGAGCATAGAAGTCTCTAGCCGTTCGAGAAGCCGAAGAACTACCTAAACATTTAGTATGATCACACAGATTCACAATTCAACTCGTTTTTGTAGTTGTAGATAATTAAAACAAGATTTTTTTCTAGTAGTACTAAACAACAAATGCAGTGAGAAACGCGGCACCTACTTGATTGATTTTGAAAATTCCGTTCCAAGTTCTCGTGTAGTTTCAAGTGGACGGCAGTCACCACAAAAAAAAAAAAAGGGGTTCACGGCAATATTACACGTGTGGGTTTGGGACCAGACTCAATTATAAATGCATGCATGTGTTGTATTCATGTACATGTTG